TGACCTAATTTAATGTACAATCTCGGTGTTTGCCTGAACGAATAGACAAAAACCACAAACGTCTCTGTTAGTATAGTCTCCAGGCAGAGTCTCCTGATTTAGCCAGGCTGAGATGTAGTCTGACGCTAGCTCAACCAGGGAGCCAACATATAGGCTTCCTGTCCTATTCCCCCCTTTTTTACCCGAAGAAGGAAGCAGAATCCAGCTGGCGAAACGTTGTAGTTTTATGATTTTATAATTTACACGATGGACAGTGTACAAAATAATAATTTTACGTTATAAAACTTGCATTATAATTGTGTTGTTTTAAAACCCTTAATTGAGCTTTTGGAAGTCATGAAACTTTAAATTTCCTGTGCAATTTCTGTTTACTGCTAGTTCAATAATTACTTTAATTGAATCTTTGTCAGTGATGATGGCAAGTCGAAAATATTAAAATGTCTTTTTATATTGTCCTTATTAAGCTATTTTAAATGTTATAGGACCTCGTAGCTTAGAGCCTCAGCATGTCTAAACACAACCCTGGCTGGCAGGTGTGATTTTTCGTTCTTAGCCATTAATACGGACGTGAATGGGATTTAATGTGAGTGTTAGCAATTGGCTCTCTGGTACAGAGACCTGAGTTGCCAAGTCGATTAACTGACTGATTGATTGATTGATTCTTGAGTACATACGGACGCTGCTGCATTCACTGCCTCGCTAGGCGCACTCATGAAGTGCGTCGCCATTTGTGAACTCCTGATTTATTAATTTTTTTTAAATTCATGTGGAACTACACTTTTGCTGCTCTTGCATAGCTTATCGAACTCTGTTCACTTGCAGATACCAGGTCCTTAATCGCAAGTGCGTGGTTTTTCAGAACTGCTGATTTCCCCCACAAAGTACGCACCGCTACGAGCCTCACCTCGTGACGCGCTAGATTTGGCGAGCGTAGATTCCAACAGCATATCCCCAGAAGAACAACCTTCGCTGGTAACCGTGACTTCGCCAGTAGACCTGCCAGGCCCGGAGTCCACCATATAGCGCACAGGTACAGCCACCGTTCACATTAATATTCCGATAATACAGCATTTCCATATCTCGTGTGCCCAGTTCAGTCCACCCTGTTCCTCTCTTATGTCCATTTTCTAGATTCACAAACAGCTGAAGATGGCTGTCTTCTGGGTTCTTGCGCCGTGTAATCTGGTGCTTACTGCCTCCATCATCAGGGCGACGATCACGTTTTCCGTGTAACCCCATGATGTGTTGCTCTGTATAGAAGCAGTTCTCCATTCTTGCCGAAAAACTTGCCTCTCCGTAGAAGAAAAGCAAAACAATAGGTTATAAATTTTCATAAATTTTGAATTCCTTAAAATGTTGGATTTAAAACATCTTAAAACAACAGAAATTGCGAGTTACGGCTACTTACTTTCGATTAACCCTGTAGTCGGGTCATAAGTCTCCTGGCAAGATACTCGTTTTTCTACCCACAAAATTGGCGACAATGAGGATGTAGCGCGAGGATCTGTAATTTTCTTCCCTGCTGTTAGCAGGCGACCTTCAGACACAAGCTACTGTCTCTTTTAATGATGACAGCCTTCACGATTTTGCGTAATTTCATGTATTAATTTTAATATTTCTGGACCAAGTACGGGTACTTTCATTAGCCCAGATATAGGATTAACAAACCCAAACTTGTGATCTTTATTTTGCTGTTCCTGAGCTTATTTCTTGCGCGATTTCTTCGTGTAATTTTGCTTCTTAATATATCACCATCATGCAGCCTCCATCAGCGGGCGTGTTCGTAAAGAAATAAGTAGTATAATCAACTTAGGTCAATGACTTCGAAGGCTAAAGGGAATCCATTTCCCCGTAATAACTTCAAATAAACTCAGAGAGCACTTTAATCATCGTGAAATAATATACGGAGTTCTGGGAACAATTTACGTCGCGAATTTTCTTCAAATGCTTCGGTCTATAATATGTCAATCATGTCCTGTGCTTATTTCCTGTAACAGTCCCACTGATTTTGACGACGTTATGTTTTCCAGATACAGCTTCAAAATTTCGTTTCGTTACCATAGTTTTAATTGTAAATTTTTCTGAAATCTGCATAATGGCTCAACATTTATAAACGTTTGTATACGCGCGGTCATTGTAATAACATGTCTGTTTCCGCTTGCAAAGTAAGGTGAAAGGTTAAAAATTACAAATATTATGACAGCGAGGAACTTATAGATTCTAGGCTATCTGGTATATATTTAACATCGCCTGTATCTGCACTAGTGTAAATTAAGCACAAAAGTCGTTCATTAAATTGTATATTTGATAATTTAAAATGTCTGTCAGCTTTGAAACGTAGGCTCCAGTGAACAAACACACCGGTAGAATCTAGACGCAGGCTATCGATTCATTACAAGATTAATCGTTTTGTGCAGAAATTTAAAAGGAGTTGAATAATTTTATTATCAGTTGGAGGCAGCCAGCAAACAATTGGCTGGATTCTCGCCTTAAAATGTAAAGCACTTCCCGTCTTGTATGTGTGAAGAAGTCTATTAGCATTGCTATGACGCCGACGTCAGAAGTTAGAATAATTTGATATCTTCACGCTATTAAGCTACAGTAGTCTTCACCTCTGAAACACAGTGGTAACTATGTATACCGCCTGTTTTAGCATTTAGTAACTTTGTATTTTGCCTACAGATTGTGTTTATCGGTTTTGTATGATCCTTAGAATAAACAGTGATTATTTCCTTATACAACGTTAACGACTTGATCTGTTAATGGAGAAGCGTTGTGTTTCCTTTGAGGTAGAAAGTGAAATCCTAGATTTTGTTCAGATGAGCTTCGTCCTTGAAAGTCAATTTTTCATAAGATCCAGCCATTGGATTTTATCCTGATCCAGAAGAATCCAATTACATTATTTCCACACAAGCTTTGTTTAGAATCTAATGTAATGTTCCCACGTGCGCCAAATTTTCATAGTGGTCTTTCTCCTTTGCAAACGATATTCTCAGAGCTTTGTAACCCCCATTCTCACACTAAGGAAAACACAGTGTTTAGATTGATTTCTGTGTTCTAGAAGATTATTACATTTCGAAAGATTATGTCAGAACCTGCCAGTTTCTAATTTTCTGTCTGTGTTTAAATTATCACAATTTACGAGACCATGATATATCAGTATTCCCAAGCACAGTATTAGGTTTTGTTATTAATAGCATTATTAAGGCATTGGATCTAAATAATGATAGACAACAGGTCTAAAAATAATTCTCCTTGAAATCGTGAAAATAGCCGTAAGATATGTCAGTTTCTCAAACCGTTCACATCTTACCCTGACTGAAATTAAAAACAATATTTTTTCATAATCAATAGACATACATTGGACGTAGACTATGTATTTAAAAGTACACTGAAACTTTAAAAATAAACTTTAATAAAGCCCTATAAAAATGTCAAACATGTCTTCAGACATAATTACAGGGCCCTCAGTGTTTTTAATGGAGTAAAGTGCGAAGCATTATGACACAGCTTTTGGAATCGAGATGTGCCCATATGTCATTTAGACTGTAGCTTATATAGAAACCAAATACTAGATTTATAAAATACTAGTAATCTAAAACCCATCGGGCTTCGAATGTTGCATACATAATTTTATTTGCAGTTTTGAAGGAAATAAGTTCTGTATTTTATCAAAAAAATCGCAGTATTATTTTAAGGAGAATAATTAATTATATCGAAATATTGGCATCATTTGACACCAAATTAACTGTACTGCATTATTTCAGCATAAAATGATATTTTGAATGGCATGATCTTCTCCCTAAAGCGCTATATACAGAATTTTTATGAATGTGTGAACGATGTAGACTTTTCAACATTTCCTCATTGATGTACCATTATGTGGGACAGACTGGAAGGAAAAGAAATCGGGGGCGTGGTCCACTAATATTAGTGGGGGGGGGGGGAAATGCTCGTTAACACACTACCAGTAAATTGCATGAGAGTCGCGACACTTCCTACTTGGCTGGCTGGCATTGCTCCACATAACCGTCTGAATTACACACGAGTGAGTACCTTCTTCAACCGTTAGTTCCTCCGACCTTCATTTCTAATTAGAAATGCCATGTTTTTTTCCTGACACACGACAAAGCCATTAGTGTTGTTTCTTCCACGTGAATTATCCATGGACGAAGGATAGAGCACTACTAGTGGAATCTTTATTTTATTTATTTCACTTAGACTTTATTTTTAATATTTTTATCTCTGTTGTTCTTTTTTCCTTCTTCCTTTGTTTTCTTAAAACTCGTTTTTCCCTTCCTTCTTTTGTTTCATCTCTTCTTTTCTTTTTCGTCGTATGCCGCAGAACACACATTGAACTCCTACTCCGGTTTCGTGCTACTCCCACCTTGTTTGTAACACCTTACGTACGTCACTATTTCTGGAAGGCAAAAGCTCTTCGAACATGTTAGTGTTGTTATCGTATCTCAGTCTTACCCAAAATAAAACTCACTGCTGCTAGTCATATGTCATACACCACTCAGAACGGAGATTTATCGAAGATAGTCACCTTCGGACTTACAGCCGTGAAAACCCCAAATCCTATTACAGAAATTTAATAATTACAGGCCTGACCTTAGCAAATTCTAGGCTTACAATGTGGTTGTGTCTTGTACCACTCGCAGTTAACGTCATGGACTGAGTTCCTTCTTGAGAAGCTAACGGTCGCTCAGCTGGTCAAGTAATTCCTCTTTTTTTATGGAACACTAAGACTCTTTCTCCTTCCGCTCTGTTCGTCACCGGTCGCTGTCCTGACCCATATGAATCGTCTGCTTCTTAACGCCCTGTTACTTTCAAATACGTTTTCATCTTATTCATCCATCTACGCCTAGATCTCCCATGTGGTTTTATCCTTTCAGGTTTTCCAATCACATTGCTGTATGAGATAGACCGTTCTTTCAGGTTTTTAAATCACATTGCTGTATGAGATAGACCGTTCAAAGCAATTATTTTCTTCGCAGGAAAAGAAGGAGCGGTGAATATCAAGACAGTAAGTCCGTCCAGTAACCCGACACAACCATTATCAGCCTTAAGCAGTTGCGGGCACTCTGAGCAGCAGCGTGTGGATCAGTCTGGCATTGGTTTTGTATTTTCTGTGGAGCTCGAAGTGAATCTGACACAATAACGGTGCAGTGACTCCACGTAACAAATAGCTGCCTCTCGATTTGAGTAACTCCTTAGATTTGGAAGCAATGCGCGTTCCGGTTTGACTTTGAAACGACTCAAAGGAATCACGTACTTAATTCTGTGAAGAATATTTAATGGACAATTTAGAAAAAAAGACTGTTTCTCGTAAGAACACGCAAGTAAGCTTGCTGAACAGAGAAATAAGATTTTTCTAACTAAATGATAGAAAATAAACAGTCGAAAAAGAGATTGTTGAATGAATATGGGCCTACGGTGTCATAATAAGTTTAAAGTATCCCATTTCCAGAATTTTTTACATAAATTTTGAAAGGACTGTCCATGGATCTGTTACACTTTCCTCGTGCGTCATTTATACGAAAACCAGTGATTGCTTAAATAAATGTTTACTTAGGTTTTGTTTCGCCTCCGTATTTCAAGAACATTTTATGTTTTCCTCAATGATTATTTACGGATTTTATAAAACCAAATGTAACACAAGGACAAGTGCGTTCAATATATAGCAACACTGTTATATCCGAATCATTATTATTTAGTTTTGAGGCACGAGAACTATTAATACATTTATTTTGTTAACGAAGTAATTTATTTTATGGCACAAAATCACTAACGAATATAAAATAATTTGAGATGAAATAAAAATTTTAAAGTGAATCCCTTTGTGTAAACAGAGTAATAAAAAAAATTCTTGGAAAATACTTGATTGACGTAACTCTTCGTGTAAACAGAGTAATAAAAAAATTTCTTGGAAAATACTTGATTGACGTAACTGAATGTTTTTCAGTCCGAAACGCCGATATAAAAATTATATGTAACAGTGTAAAATTTCTAGAAGATCCCCGTTTATTACAGAAGAATCTAATTTTAGTTCTGCAAAAACTGATGGATACCGAAGGTTTAATTTTACGAACACCTACCCTCGTGATTACATTTCTCTAAATATGCGCTGCTTGTCATGGCATTAAAGCCTGCACAGGAGGGTCAGAAAGATCTGTCAAGCTAATGTGATTGAAGAAAGCCAGTCAGTGTTTGTTGTCCTGTAAAGATTGTGCCCAACAGTAAAATCGTGTCTTCAAGGTGTTCGTTAAAACGGTTTTTTGAAGTGTATGAAACAGCGCTGGAATGGTTATTTTATTTGTGTGTGTGTGTCAATTTTGCCTTACAAGTTTTCGCCGCCCTCGTAAGGCTGCGATGTGTTTGAACAGGAAGAGTGACCTCCCACCAACTCAGCTTACCGTGACTTTGCTGTACCAACTCATTCATCTGCCAACTCGCAACAGTGAGTCGTGCGTCAACTAGAACCGTGTAACCGAACGTAACAAGAAACATTTGCTTATCTCCATAATAATTACCAAATTAACGCGCTGGGTGCATTTCAAGAGCAAGAAGATGACGAGATCTCTACACCAAATGTTTGATCGCGTCTGTTTTTTATAAAAAAAAATCAACATCGGAAAACGTGATCGTCGTAACCTTGAACAAACTCAGATTGAAGTGACTGGTTAAAATTCAGTGAATAATTCAGTAATTGTCTTACAATCAGAATCTTACCAAGGCTGAAAACTTAACTAAACCTACAAATGAAAGTGTGAGAAGAAAGTGCAATGTACTGAATAGTCGTGAATGTGTTGTGTGTGAGGATATTCGCACCTGTAGCATGTCCAGTATTGCCAACATTGTCATAGCGAACCTCGAGACTTAGTGCTATGAAGGTTTTCCACATGATTGGTAGAGACGAAGACGAATATGGAGCGCCCCGGGCTCCAACAGCTGTGCCTGAAGATGACGAAGTGGATGATGATGATGATAATGATGAACTTTCGTTTTATTGCTGTGATAATCTCGGTAAAGGGGCATCCCAGTCTTCGGGTGCCATAATACCTGATGCTGCAGCTGAGGCCACCGGATCCTTGCTGAGGGCAGCAGGGGGTGGTGGAGGTGGAGGACGGGATGTCCTCAAGACGCCATACACCCTTATTCGAGTGTCCACATATACCAGCTCTCTAAATCAGCCGACGATCAGGTAAGGAATACGTTTTTGTTAATTCACACCCCCAAACAGTGGCTAAATATTTTGATGTGGATCTGCTGAATTGTAATGTCGTGTGGTCTTGTAGGTTCAGCCCTGAATGTAAATTCCTCCGAAACGTTGGTGTCTTCATACGAGTTCACATGACGTCATGACATCATCACAACCTTCAGAATGTCAAATTTCATTAAGTAACTAAATGTAGCTCGAAACGAAGTTGGACTAATACTTTTAGTGGTATAAGAGATAAGAATGTTTTAAGTGATGTTTTACATTAGCGTGAAACTTGGTCTCTCATCGCTATTATTTATTATTGTGTTGAATTTACGTGATAAACACAGATGCCTTCTTTACGTCTGTCACAATTGATTCCTCTATGTTAGCTTTTACAATTAAAATTCACATCTTCTCCTGAAGAGAAATGGATTGGGACTGAGAATTAGGCGGTGTACTGGTCTGTTCAGAAATAAACTCTGTGAAGAGGACAGCTTCCGTCGTTTCCCTTCTTAACATTGTTATATCCCTAATGGGTTCGCTGCTTTTCCTGTCTTTTGGCTGCTAGGCTTGTATGTTTTTCTTGTTGCGAGAGTTCTGACTTGTCGGTTCGGATGTTGTCGTGGGAATTTCTGTAGAATTAATTATGGAGCGAAGGACATATTGACATTACACAATCCAGCTTAGGTTCAATCGGTACACTCTCACTTTCTTGAATACTAGTGACATTTTTGTTAGATTATAAAAGATTCACAACATGCAAACATGCATGCATATCTGGTCTGTAGACTTAGACCTGAATGCGACCTTATCTCTGACTTTAACGCTATGTTCACAGTCCGCTGTAGTCTATTTGCCCTATTTGTAATGCTAAGTCAACTGTTTTATTTTGTGACAAGTGTCTATGCTATTTGGCCCGAAGGAGTTCCCGAGGCAAAAGTATTTCGATATGGTTGATGATTCGATCTTCTGTAATTGAATTGTAGCACTGCCTTCGTTATTGATGCAATGTTTTACCTTCATGATTCGATCACTTGAGCTTCGTTTGAGGAAAAAGGATGCTTCGCTTGAAGGTTAGTTGGCATTAAGGCGGGCTCGAATTCAAAACCTCGTTTCCGTTATATGAAATTGTGCATTGAAAAATATAATGTTACTTTACTTGACATTATGGGACGTGAGAACTACATACATAAATTCTCGACTGCTCTACTGTGCCAGAGCACAATAGCATAACGTGTGAGACATTAGGCATGCTTAAGCCTTCGGTACACTACTGGTTATGTTCGAGCTTGCGGCAAACGTCACAAATTCTGTCGTCGTTAAATGCTTAAATTCACTTCTAAATGTCTGTTGACAAACCACGCGTTCGCGTAGGTAAATTTATGGTGTTTTAACAGTGCAAGAATTTTGTATTATTTATATGTTAGTTTATGACTTGATTTAGAAATTAATATTTTGTGGTTTTAGTCGAGATTGGTGTGGCCCAACTTTGAATTTGTGGAAATTCATAATTCTTTAATGCTAGGACCTTCCCACATTACCTCTGGTTTTTGTCGGATGAGATGTGAAGGAATGTCTAGTCTTAGATGGACATACAATATTAATATGAATACAGAGATAGGTTATGAGGATGAAAACTGATTTAAATAGATCTTTGAATACCTAGTCTTAGATGGACAGACAATATTAATATGAATACAGAAGTAGGTTATGAGGATGAAAACTGATTTAACGGTAATTAACCTTCGGGTTCCATAGAAGACGGACAATTTCTTGACAAACTGAGCGTTTGTTAGCTTTTCAAGAAGGACTCTGCTCCATTGACTTCCTTAGTTCTTTAGAACCAATATTTTGTATATGAGCCATTCTGAGAAAATATGATAAAAATTCTGTTAGAGCTGTCGCAGAATATAAAATTAACATTCCAGATAATAGTATTAATTACGTTATGAATATTTAATTTCTCTTTAAGACGTCATATTAAACTTTGTTCTCATTTGTATTAATACATTGAAACTAACTCATACAGAATGCTCTGTTAGTGGATGCGGAAACTATACGTCTGTAGTTACTGAGCGAGTTTTATCAGTCACTTGTCTCGCAATCTTACGTCGCACTTATCTGTCCTCAAGATAGCTCGGGATGCGAGTTGTTAGCAGTTAGCAACTTGCAGATCATAGTGTGCTGTTAAGACTATTAGCGTAGCTCTGAAGAAGACGTTAATACCCGGGAGCTCATGAGAGACAGTAGCAGTGCTTCCAGTGCAGGAGTCTGTTCAGGGTAGAGCTTCCGACCAGGTGGACGCAGGGTATGCGAGATTTTCTTCTTTCATTATCTGCATTATCGTAAACTGAGTACCAGTTCCGACATACCGGTTATCATGTTAGACATCACAATGTAGGATATGAAATTTATATATTTGTTTGATATTAAATAAATCACTCAGAATTCATTTCTCGAACATTGCGATTTAATGCATTATTTAAACCAAATATTTAGATTTTTACGCCAAAATGATTAGTTAATGTCAAAGTAGTCTGGAATTATTTAATTTTGTTGAACCTACATCTGATTTTAAGGTTTATTTTACTGTTACCAGTAAGATAGCTGTTCGGCTGTATCAGAACAGCTCAGTTTGTTATTTCTCTGAAAATATATCCCAAGAAAAACTCTTACATACCATGTATGTACTCTGTGATTACACACAAACCATGATATATAATTTAGCAGTTCTATATTATTAAAGTTGAATAGGCTATATAATCATTTCTGAGGCTTACAAATAATATGTGATATTCTATTTTTTATTGTCAAGCACTGAATAAAATAGACGGTATTCGTATGAACTGCTTCATAAGTTAAATATTAATTCTTCTTATGATAACAATCGTAATTTATTATACAGAACATTTACTTTGTTGCGATAAAATTAAAAACACTAGGAGAGTGACAGTAATATTGTTATTATTTTTGTGTTAATTATTTATAATGTGTGTGCGTGTGTGTAAGATAAGTAATGAGCAGGTAAGTCGACATGTTGTTAGGTTTTTGTCTGCTAATATTTTTTCCAAAAGATTCAGTGCTTCACGTTTTTCTGTGAGTATTATGAAAAATGTTTCTGTATGTAACGGCAAGATGACATGCGTAAAATTGGAGCAGTTTGAGTAACGTAGTCATTTGTGTTTAATCAGTGCCATATTGTATTAAACCTAAATGAAACAAGGGCAGTGACAGTAAACTAATGTAACGATATCTCCCTATTGTATAATTAGGGCAGCTGAAATCAGAGATTCGCTTGCGTTCTGATACAAATTCATCATGCCTCCGTCTTCAGTCGATGTACAGTCAGAACTAGTTTGTCATGAACTCATCCATCATTGTAAATGGGCATTCACTACTAAACGATTCTTAAGTTAGCTTGTTAAATAGTATTTGATTAGGTTATGTTTACTTTTGTAATCGTACCGAGAAGATTAGCACCGCAATAAACCTTGAATATCGGATTTCGTATCAAAAGTGTTTCGTAGGGTCTACTTTCCTTTCAAACAAATGCCGGCTCAGTTCCTTCAAAAGCTACAGTAATTTGATGATTTCTGTCTTCTGGGTTGTTGCGCTGTGTAGTCTGGTCGATGTTAACCAACGTTTCAGAGGTCATACTGCCTCCATCATCAGGGCGATG